TCTACCACTGAAGGTTTTAGACGTGTATACACAACAGCAATGAAAAGAGAGCAAATGGACAATGGCGGAATAGCAAGAAGCTTGTTGAGTTCTAAATGATCAGTATCAGAGAGTTGGAAGGGATTAACGATGAGCTAATCATCCTCCTCATTTTGCAACTTGTAGAACTGAAGACAAGCACGGATGCGATATAGGAGCCGACTGGACGTGTCCAGAATAGTGTCCTCTCTTTGACCCCTTATTGCAAAATTTTGTGGGATTACTGAAGCAAGCTAACTGCTAGTTGTGAGTCTTTGAAAGTGAATAAAACCCCCATTTTCCTGAAGGCATAGTGATAGACTGAGTGACTTAAGGTCCCTTCCAGCCCAGCCTGGGAATTCCTCTTCCTCTGCCTCTCGGGGTCCAGCTGTGCGATCACACACCTGGGCGTCCAGCGGAAGCATGCCGCTGCAATTCTGCCATCTAGCGGTAGGAGGCTGATATTGCACCACCAGCCGTCTCCACCAACACACCTCCCACCTGAAAGCCCAAGTTACCAAAGGCGTTTTTCGGGACGCTACCCAAACACGTGATGGCACTATGCCACATGCTGCTCTCCAGTGATTACACTCCACTGGAAGTCTCCAGGGTTTTCTCTAGCGCTGATATCTTCGGTTCCAACTTGGCAGCTGGTTAAGGAGACTAAATTGTGGCCATTGATAATTAGCACAGAGACTTGCAGCGAAAGGCTGCAGAGGGGGGCAGCCTGACTTGGGTCTTGAAGGGTGGGAATCATTTGCTCAGAAAGAAGAGCACACAACAGAAGGGAGGAATAAAATGGATGAAGTGGACATGAGGGCGAGGAGGGAGATGAGGAGGAGGAGGAAGCAAAATGGAGGAGCTAAGGAGGAGAAAGAGTTCAGCAGGCTACATCAAGTGGTGTCCCTAGGAGAGTAGAGTCAAATAAAGGAGGAAACTGACAGAAAGCTTTGGGAATGACCAGTAGCTTTTGGGGAGGTTTTTTAAGTCCTAATTGAGGAAGCAACTTCATGAAAATGGCATTCTAGGAATATTAATATTATACCATGCTACAGCCTTCAACTAGAGGGAGGAAATTAAAAGACTAAAGGGTGGAGTTTGTTGTTGTTATTCTGTGTCATGTCTTAAAAATCTTAAATGGGGATAATGACTCTTATGTCCCAGGCTGCTATGAGAAAAAGTGATGTGAAGTGCTTAGCCCAGTGCCCGGCACATAATAGGTGTTCACTGAGTTGATAATGCTCTTTATTATCATCTCTCTGAAATCTGCCTTTGGCCTCAGCAGACCCCATTCCATAATCACCTTAGCTCTAGTGACTGCCTTCCCCATTTTGTCTCTGGGAGCAGGACAGACTCTGGGCTTAGGAGCCAGGATGCACACAATGACCTTTGGACAGGAGGTACGGAAGGGGCAGAGCAGGGAGAGTGTAAGAAGGAGCCTTCCCTAAATCTCCTCCCTGTGTCCTACCTTGGTTCATCCCCTCTGACTGTGGGAACTTTCAATGAAGCTACCCATCCTCTCTGAGCCGGAGCAGGAAGCCTCCTCTGCAGCATCTGTCCACAGGTTTGGAGTGGTGAGGAAGCTGCATCAGGGTCTGTGTTTATTGTCCCAATCCCTGGGAGACGGGAAGCCTGGCCTATGGGCACATTCAGTCACCTTCGTCCTTCCACAAGGACCATCATTGACCATCACCCCATCAAGATGGCACCATTGCTGGCTCCAGGCTAGAGCCCTCCTCCCATCTGCACAGGATCTGGGACGGCCCTTGCCCCCTTCCCCCTACCTTCATTCGATCTCCTGAAGGGCCACCCTCTTAGAGCCATAGTCGGCCACCCCTCAGGGTGGTGGAAGGAACCACAGTGGGCTCAGTCCTATTCCTATAGAGTATATGGTCTGCTAGGGAACTGAATTATGCTTCCAAATTCAGCCCTCAAATCGAATTCCTTAAATTCATATGTTGAAGCTCCAGCTCCCCATCCCCAATGTGAAGGCATTTGGAGGTGGGGCCTTTGATAATCATATTTGGGCAAAGTCACGATTGTAGAGCCCTCAAAATGGATTTACCTCTGTCTCTCTTCCTCTCCTCTCCCCACTTTTTCTCCTCTCTGGGAATACAACAGGAAAACCGGAAGAGAGTCCTCACCAGCCCAAGCAGGCTGGTACCCTGACCTCAGACTTCCAGCCCCCAGAACCGTGAGACATAAATGACTGTTGTTTAAGCGCCCATGGTCTGTGGTATTTTGTCATGGCGGCCCGAGCAGATGAAGACATGGCCTGAGTTGTGGTTTGAAATCCTGGAAGTCAGTCCAAAGAAAAACTTGGAAATAGGTCACCTTTCACCCACACCTCTTCTCAGGTGGGGCACGTGCTGAGCCTGACTGGCGCGCCAGGCCGGAGGGAGGCTGTGGAGGGACGGGGTGACTAAGAGGACAAGGGCATGAACAAGCCCAATGCCATAGAAGTCGTGCTGGTGTCAGAGGAGGATGCTTCCGGAACTCCTCCTCCTCCTCCGGTAGCAGTGGTAGCAGAGCCAGAGCAGCCATCTTAGACCCTGAACAGAGGTCATAGATAAAAGGAGCCTGGGTGCCGAGGACTTTGTGCAGAATGGCTGCCACCATCCCAGCCCTGGATTGCCAACCTCTGCACTTCAATGGGAGGGAAAGATGCACTTTTGTTTCTTTCAAACTGCTTTTGGTCTTCGTAACTCACAGACGAATATAACCATAACTGATAGCGCATTCCAAGAATGTTGGCTGTTGTCTGTCACACGATTACAACCATTTAATGTCTGTCTTCCCCTTAGATTGTAGGCTCCACGAGGGCAGGGACCATGACCGTACAGTGAATCCCCAAGGCCCAAGCCAGTGCCATCCACACAGTAGGCACCCAGTAAGTGTCTATTGAAGGAGTTGGTAAGCCCTGTTCAAGACCTTCTTGCTCTCTGGGGCTGAGCACCAGCCTTGGGGCATCTTTACCTTTAGGTCCCACTTCAAGCCCATCTCCCAGGGAGAATCTTCCCTGTCACTTCCTTCTGGTTCCTCTCCTTCCAGGTCCCCTGGAACTTACACTATAAGTTACAAGGATGAAGTCGTCCTGCTGCTGTTACGCTATTTGGCAATCATTTCCTGGTTAGTCCCTGGATGCTCCTGCCATTGCTGAACTGGACCATATGTTACTTTGGCAAGGAAAACACTTCCAGTTTTGTAATCATTGGGAGTTTTAGCCCCGATTCCTCACAAATGCATATAGTGAACAATAAACACTTTGTGAAGAAAGGAAGGAAGGAAATCTGATGAGGCCCCGACATGGAGGCAGAATGTCAGATTTCAAGTTGGGGAAGATGATTTTCAAAAAGGAGAAATAAATAAGGTCAAAAAAGAGTAGTCAGAATGGTAGGGAGTAAACAAGAGTGAAAAACTCCCAAGAGCCTAACTTGGAAAAAAATTTCAAAGGCAGGTTGGTGTTGAAAATGGGAAAAATAGGAGATTCTGGGAAAGTGGGCTGGACTTCTGTTAGCTGTGACCTTGGATAAGTCACTTCACCTCTAACGATCCATTTCTTTTATTTTTACAGTTAGGTCTGGCTCAATCAGTGTTCTTCTGGTTGTGTTCCAAGGAACCCAAATAGAGATTCCAAGAAGCTGGAATCCAGCCCACCGCCTCAGCCAGAGAGCTCGGTTCCCATCAGCTTCATGACTGGTTTCCCCATAGAGTAGAAGTCAGTTTAGCTAAAACAGTTTAAAAACCACTGGAGTCAACGACCCCTCTTACAACTACATAAAGATCTCTGGTTTTATGATTCAAACAGTTTACTCCCAAAGCGGGACCCCTCTTCAAAGGAAGAAGGCTTATACATGGGCCTTGGTCTCCTCTTCCCAGCCAGACTACAAATTCTGAGAAGGGCAAACTTGGGCTTGTGGTTCTCTGCTTCCCACGACAATCTTCCCATTTGGGCTCATGGAATCCCAACAATGGCTGGATTTATAGATGTTCCACAAAGTTCTGTGGTTGGATGTCCCAGCAGGGCAGCAGAAAGGCTGTGAGAAGGAGAATCGAATCCACTCTGGGGAGTTCTCAGGGATAAAAGGACCCCCATACAGGAGTAACTGGGCCCTGGAACTCCCATATAAGTGGTTCTGCTCTTGGGTGTGTTGTCTTTAACTTCATCACATCCTCTATCTCCTTCCCAATCCTGGTTTTCTCATCTCTCTCCTTTTCCCACTTGCCTTTTGCTGCTCCCTTGCCCTCCCAGGCAGAGGTCTGTGCTCCCTCTGACCCTGACACTTTCCAGGGCCCTGAGCTGGAGTCCTGGGTATGGAGCCCAGGGTTTGAGCAGTGAATCAGGAGGATGTCCAGGATACGCAGGGCTGAATAGGGTCCTGGGGGCTTTGTACTCAGGGAAAGAGGCACCTACAGGGGCCCACATCAAGTAACAAGGACCATACACTAAATGTGGTTACATACATGCAGTGGAATGCTATTCATCATTAAAAAACAAGGGAATTCTGACATAGGTCACATCATGGATGAACCTTGAGGACATTATGCTGAGTGAAACAAGCCAGATGCAAAAAGACGAATGCTGTATGACTCCACTTCCATGAGATACCTAAATCAGTCAAATTAATGGATATAGAAAGTAGAATGGTGATCACCAGGGGCTTGGGGAAGAGGGAAATGGGGAGCTAGTGTTTCATGAATATACAATTGCAGTTTTGTAAAATTAAAAGGTTCTGGAGATTGGTTACACAGTGTGAATATGCTTAACACTATAGACCTATACACTAAAAATGGTTAAGATGGAAATTTTATATTATGTGTATTTTGTCTCCCAGATGCCAGATACTACTCATTTCTCTGAGGAAAATGCATGAAAATTCATCTCTCTCTCTCTCTCTCTCTCTCTCTCTCTCTCTCACACACACACACACACACACACACACCTCAATTAATTACTTTTAAAAACACAATTCAGAGACTGGTTGGAATCCAAGAATTTGGCCCGGCTCGCCCCAGCTGTTTATTCACAGGGAGTCCTCGGGGCTGTGACACAGCAGTTAAGTCCAGGACCCCAGCTCCAGCTCAGTCACTCTGGGCCACTTGCTTAACTCGCCCCAGAAAGGCTAAGGCCAAGGGCCAGGCACCTGAAAGAAAGTGCTAGATGAACCCCCACACCTTATCACAAACCCCATACCCCAATCAGGATGGGCCTCGGCTCAGGGGAGCTCAGAGGAGGGAGTGAATAGGAACACAGTCCAGAGCACCAGCCAGGAGCACTCTCTCCTCTACCCAGGACCTGGTTTTCGCACATGCAGGAGCCTATACAGGAGGCCCAGGCCTAAGGGACCCTTAGAGACCCTAAGAAAGGCCATAAGGTATGACTGATGGGGGTCAAGATAGGGTGCAGAGACCAAGGAGAGCACATGGCCAGGCTGGAAGGGAGCAAGGGTGGGAGGCAGGAGCACAGAGAGCAAAGGTAGGCAGACCAGGTTGCTCTCCCATCGTGACCCCCCCACCCCCACCGCCCCGTTTCCCCTGAGGGGCTGGGTTGGAACAGAAAAGCTCTAGGGCATGTAGTGGTATTTGGGAGCCCCTGGCAGACCCCAGAAGGGGCCAGGAGGGAGAGGCCGCACTCACCCTGGAGAGGTCTGCTTCACCCAGACATGATGTGTTTGACAAAGGCTGAGAAAGAAAACAGAAATCAGTCACGCACTTGGCACCTCCCAGCCCCTGGGACCTCTTCCCCTCCCATATACTGCCAGACTTCCAACCTTCCCCTCTCCTTTTCCCCAGACCATGACTCTTTCTCTTATTTGGGGTTGATGGGGAGCAGCTGGAGGAAGAGACGGACCCTCTGCCCTGTGTCTTCTCAGCTGACAGTCCGAGATGGACAAAATGAGCTCCATTGTCTCTGCTAATCCCTGCAACCTTGAGAAAGGTGCCAGCACAACCCCATTGCTGAGATTTAAAAAAACTAAGGCTCAGAGAGGTAAGTGACTTGATCCAAGTCACACAGCTGGCCTATCACAGATCTATCTCCAAACTCTGGGCTCTTTCCGTTATAATATGCTGTTCACTCCAAGGATGGAAAAGAACATCCAATGGGAGCCGACCATCACCCATGTGGTCCACACAGCTTCCAGGCCCTGGATCTGCCTTGTCCTAGTCTACAGATCCGCCCAGCCCAAACTGTGCCCGCCATGCCTGGGTGCCCGAGGAAGTGAGGCCATGACCCAGTACCTTCATAATTGATGCAGCCATTGGCATCCTCTTGCCCAGCCAACAGCTGTTCCACTTCAGCCTCAGTCATCTTCTCTCCTGGGATTGGAGAAGTAGGCTCTGAGTTACAGATGGCCAAGGAGGGACAGGCAAAACCCAAGCACCACCTCGAGGCCCAAGGCTCCCCGGGACTGGGAGGGGGACATCCAAGCTTTGGAAGGGAAGCAAGTGTCTTAGATCCCTCCTACTCCCCGAGGCCTCGCCCTCTGCCCTACAGCCAGCACTGGGCCAGCAGACTAGGACCTCAGTGACTGAGGCAATGCCAAGGTCAGAAGCCCTGGGTTCCATGTTTCACGCTTCAGCCCTGCCTGCTCTGCCAACCTGCTCTTCTCTCCTCCCAAGCCCAGCTGAGCAAACCCAGTTGGGGAAGGTTGTTCCTACAGAGCCTGGGGAGATAGGACCTGAATCAGGATGTGATCCTCAGAACACAGGGGCCCTTGGACACCCCCAACATATGCCACTTGGGCACTTCCCACCCCTCCATTCCTCCCACCAGAGCTCCACCAGCCTGCATACCCAGGGTGGCAAGGACATGGCGAAGCTCGGCGCCCATGACGGTGCCATTGCTCTCCTTGTCAAACACGCGCAGCCCCTCCACAAAGTCCTCGTAGGTGCCCTGCTCCTTGTTGCGGGAGATGTGCTGCAGGATGGGCAGGAACGTCTCAAAGTCCAGCATCTTGGCATTCATCTCTGTAGGCGGGAAGGAAAGAATGTGCTGGGAGCAGAGGGTCAGCAGGGAGCCTTGCCCCAGCTCTGCCAGGCCAGGACCAGGGCAGAAGGGAAAAGCTGCCATGACTCCCACCCAGACCTCTCCTCCCGGTGGCCAGCTAGGCAGGAGAGCTAAGGGTGACTGCAGCAGGATCTGAGGGCACCCAAAGTGTCACAGAACCAGGCCTCACATTCACAAGGTAGACTTGTGATATGTGACAGGTCACAGAGGTAAACTGATAAGATTACAAAAAAGAGAATTTTGCAAAATTCTTCCTTTGGGTTTCATTACTAGACCACGTTGCCTGGAGCAACTCTGAATCAATAATTTTTATAAATTTGCAATCCTTCTGTGACTAGCCCACTTCTCCCATGTTGTAGTGTGTTGAAAGCTTTACTTTTTAAATACCACAAGAGTTGGCAATTCTTTCTTTTATAACAACATAGGAACCTCCAAACATGGAAATTCCAGGACATCTTTTAATCTCTAAGCAGGCCTGCTGGTCCTCTGACCCTTTCCTGTCCACATCCTTCACCCCACACTGCTGTCATCACCAGCAAGAGAAGGAGGGGAAGGATCCATGTGGGGCCCAGGAAGCCACTAGAGATGCCCCCCAGCCCCCACTGGGGGGCTCTGGCCAGGTCTGCCTGCCTCACCTAGTGCCCACACCTCTCAGGACATGTGTGTCAGAGCAGCTGTTAACCTTACTACCATACATGACAAGTGACATTCACAAATGGGACACATTCCCTTGTGCAACTTTGGAAACTCATTCCCCAAAACCTACTGAATGCAAATGAGCAAAAGAGACATCTTTACAGAGCTCATCTCCAGTCTGCTCTAACTTCTATTAAATGAGTAATTTGCAATCTTCAGTGCTCTGACCCTCATTAGAAACTAAGTATTTGTGATACAACTCATAGTGGTCACAGGACATTTCAGGGTAAGAGCAACTGGGTGCAGGGGTGCCAGCGGGTGGTTCGTGGTCAGATCCCCACCTCGCCTCCCTGCCCCCTGAGGCATCAGAGGAAGACACTGAAGCAATATAATGTCACTCTTGCTCTCCAGGAGCTCCGACCTCACTAGGAAAACAAGAACAGCTCCTAACCTGGGGAGGCGGGGCTGGCCTTGAAGGGTTAAAGTGGGAGAAGAGAAAGAGCCCCAGGGGCCGTGGGACAGACACCAAGAGCTACAAGGCCCACACTGACCTTCAGGCTTGGGCTTGCCAAGGACGCGCAGCACCTCGGCGTTGGTGGGGTTCTGGCCCAGTGCCCGCAGCACGTCCCCACACTGCCCATAGGTGATCTTCATCTCCCCAGTCGGCGTCCGGTCAAACAATGAGAAAGCCTCTTTGAACTCTGCAGAGAGAAGACCTGACTGCAGGCCCCTGGGCTGAGGCTGATCAGCCTCCACCTGCCCAGGATGAAGGGCAGCTCAATGTGATTGATAAAGCATTTGTATTTCCCCTTGGCCATCGTTCCAGCCGCTCCTTAGAACTACCCCACAGCATCTTCTGACAATCAAAGGGGAATCCTGGAGACTGCGTGACCTACTCCAGCGCTCCGCCTGGGGTCTCTTCTATCAGTCATGGTCATATAACCTCCCCTGCCTCACTGCTGCCATCCATCCACCCTCCCCTGCTGTAGGGGAGGTGCCTGACTGTCAAAAATGGCAGGGAAGTGAAAACAGCACAAGCTCAGAAGTCAGGATTCCCTGGTTCTCATCTTGGCTCTGCTGAGTAGCTCAGAATAAGCCCAGCTAAGATTCCGTTTCCTTGTGCAAACACAGGGAGCAAGGCTCCACTGAGTGTCAAAGGAGGTGGCAGTGGGGGGCCGGGGGGGCACACTGCAAAGTGATAAGACCTGTTCGAAAGCTGGCTACTATCAGCACTGCCTTTTCCAGGCCAGACAAGCTGACCTGGTGGAGACAGTCAGAGCACCCCAGCTCTAACACTGACTTGCTAGTGGCCTTGAGCAAACTACTAGCCTCAGTGGGCCCTCCTTTTTTAGCTCTAAGCAGGGATACAATGTCCACCTGAGTGGGTTGCTGGGGGGCAGGGGGGGTTGCCAAGTGCACCAAGCATGTTGTCTAGTGTATTTTAAAGGAATCCAACAAATGGTGGCTATTGTATTCCCTACTTCCAGAGCCAGCTCAGAGCTGGGACTAGACTCCCTGAAGGTACCAGGTCAGGTATCATAGAGGCAGGGCCGAATTAAGGCACTCCTGGGCCTTTTGCAGAGAACTTTAATTCCTCATTAATTTGGATTCAACCAGTTCATTACTGGGGATAATCCGGACTGGGAATGGCAAAGAAATGGTTTACTAAGCAGATAGATTAACAATATAAACCAAAGAACCACTTAGGAAGAAAGCTGCTTTTAATCCTCACCAAGTACTTTAGAAACACTTATCCCTTAGAGGCTGTTTAGGGATTATTTACAAACCATTCTGCACATCAAAGCAAGTTCCCCCAAGATGGTTACTTGCAAGTCTTTATTGGGCTTTGTAAGAATTTAAAAACATATAAAACCACATGTCTTTCAATTACTGAATAATTGAGTTCAAATTCCATTTCCATTGCTTACTAGCTGTATGACCTTAAGCAAGTAAATATTTAACCTCCATAAACCTCTCCTCTTCTGTAAATGACACCTACCTCATAGGGTTCTTAAATTACATTCAAATTGAATACAATAATGTATGTTACAAATCTTAAGAAAATATCCAGTGTATAGTAAATACTCAAACAATGGTGTATTATCTCACTACCACTTAGCTATGTGATCCTGGCCAGGCCACTTAACCTCACCGAACCTTGGTTTCCTCCTTTGCCAAAAGGAAATGACACCCACCTCACAGTTTTGTTAGGATAAAAAAAAAATTTTTTTTTTAACTTTTAAGGCAATGATCATGACTTCTAGCACAAATTTGGTGCTCAGTGAATACGTGTGAGCCGAATCTGAACTCAGACTTTTTGATCTTTTTTTAGTTCATTCTGAAGACTGAGGTCAGAGTTAATAAAAGAAGGAGTCCCCTCATCAAAGAACATAATGAAACTCACTAGGAGGGTGGAACATAAGGAGGGAAAGTGATAAGAACAATGACCTGTATTTGATCACTTACAATGGACCAAGCTCTGCACTAATAATGTTGTAAGGACATTTCAAAAACCTTATGTTGGGGCGCCTGGGTGGCTTAGTCAGTTAAGCGTCCGACTTTAGCTTAGGTCATGATCTCACGGTTCGTGGGTTCGAGCCCAGCGTCGGGCTCTGTGCTAACTGCCAGCTCAGAGCCTGGAGCCTGTTTCAGAGTCTGTAACTCCCTCTCTCTCTGACCCTCCCCTGCTCACGCTGTCTTTCTCTCTCTCTCTCTCTCTCTCCTAGAAATAAATAAAACATTAAAAAAACACACACACACAAACCTTATGCTATAGGTATTGCTACCCTCATTTATAGGTTAGTGTGCATGTGACTTCTGGCCAAGGATTCAGGACACCAAGGAAACAGTGAGGAGGGGGGAGGAGGGGAGAAGGATCTGCTGTGCCTGCTAATGCTCCAGCCTGCTGCAGAGTCCTGGTGTGCACAGAAGCCCTAAACACTGAAGTTTAGGGCTGCTACTAGGCAGAAGACAAAGCCAGTGCGATCTTGGGGTGTATGAGAAGTGATGTTCGTGGGCTCAGAAGAAACCTCTTCTCAATAGTCTGTAGTAGTCAGGTGCTTACTAGAGCAATGAGCAAATGTGGTAATCCCTTCCTACAAGAATATGGAAATCTGGAGAGGGACTGGTAAATCAAGAGTTAGAAGCTAATTCCTATGAGAAAAAAAAAATAGCATTTAAAAAATGGGACCAGAGCACCTCAGTGGCTCAGTCAGTTGAATCTCTGATTTTGACTCAGGTCATGATCTCTAGGTTTATGAGTTCTAGCCTCACACCAGGCTCTCTGCTGTCAGCGTGGAGCCCACTTTGGATCCTCTGTCTCCCTCTCTCTGTGCCGCTCCTCCACTCATGCCTCCTGCTCTCAAAAATGAATAAACATTTTGTTAAGACAAAATGGAACCATATCACCTGGAGAATATAAAGCTATGACAGGATTCAACAACTATCTTCAAGTAGATGAAAGATATGTAGAGGATTCTGAATAGAGTCACAGAATTTCTGAATTGAAAAGAACCAAATATATTACTTTGCCAATAAGAATATTAAGGTTCAAAAAAGTGTCTTGCCCAAAGTCTCATGGCCAATAATGGTAGAATTAGAGCTAATGCCAAAATCTGATTCCAAATAACATTCTTTCTAGCATACCACACAAAACTATCTTCAGCTTCATCAAAGAGCAAATGAAGAGATAGCAAGAGTAAAATTAAAACAGAAACAATTCCAGTCCAAAATAAGAAACAATACCTTCAAGGTCAGAGGGATGACAGACTGAAAGGAGTTAGGCCACAGCCCCAAAAATCCTTAAGGAGGAAAAGAGACAACCAGCTGTTGCCCTTGGCTCTGACCACAATTCCCACTTGGGAAATGAAAAGTTGGTATCATTAGTTGACTTTGTAGTCCTCATGAGTACCACTATGCTCATGTCTACACCAAAGTATATACTTAAGTAAAATACACTGATGTGAGTTTTAAGTGTTTTGCAGCACTGCAGGCTATTGACTGAAAGTGAGTGTCTACAGAGTGTTGCAAAAGCAGAGTCAGATTCAATTCATAAATTTCAAAATGTATCCACTAGTTGTCATGCCCTGTTTTTGGGTAAACTGGCATCACTTTTTGGGAAGGCAGTTTGGCAATAACTATTACAGTTTAAAATGCATGTATCCTTTGACCTACTGCTAGGAAGTTCCTCTGGGGAAAGCATGCTGATACCCCCCAACTGGAAACTGCCTGAAGGTCTATCACTGCTAGCCTGATTAAATTAAAAGGTACATCCATTCTTTTTTAGAGAATGTAATTCTTAGGGCGCCTGGGTAGCTCACTCAGTTAAGCATCGGACTCTTGATTTCAGCTCAGGTCATGAGCTCACGCCTTGTGAGATCGAGCCCTGAGTAGGGCTCTGCACTGACAACGTGGAGGCTGCTTGGGATTCTCTCTCTCCCTCTGTCTCAGCCCCTACCCACCCCAAAATAAATAAATTAATTTAAAAAAATAAAATAATGTAATTTTTAAAATGAAGAACTGTTTGTGTTAACTATAAAAAGATACCAAGATACAGTATTAAGTAATATATATTATATATTAGTAAATCCAAATATGTATTAAGTAGAAAGTATAGGACAGTATGTATCACATGACTCAATATATATAAATTTTTTAAATACATACTGATATACTACTATATTTTCTCAAAGGACATATAGTCTTATTAACAATGGATTTGGGAGAGGGATCAGCATGAGAGGAAAGCAAGGGGAAAATATTTTTATTTTTCATTATTTACTTTTAAGTAGTATATGGTTTTTCAACCATTTATTAGTCTACTTTTTAAAAATATAGTGTGTGCTTAAAATCAAGGGGTTGGATCAGAGGACCTTTCGAGGTCCCTCCCAGCTCCCATGATTTTATGTCCTGGAGGCATCTGGTGGGGAAAACGGATAAGGTGCAATGGCCATGAGCCCCAGCTATAAAGTAGATATCACTTGATGAAATATTCTATTCTCAGAACAGCAGACTCCTACAGGAGATGGCCAGTAATCAGGTGGCAGGGTAGGAGATCTTGAGGCTTATCTTGAAGCTGTACTTAATATCACTTTATGTCTTCCTCAGAGGTGGAGAAGGGTTGGTGGTGGGAATCACAGGTGGACTACACACCTCGAAGTCACCATTGGCCCTTCCTCCTTTAGCGGGTGAGCACCTCAGCAGGCTACAGGATGAGGGAGAGGATGTCAATGACCTAAGGAGGGCTTTCCAATACCAGGAACAGAAATGAGAGTTCTAAATATCTTGAATAGCAGGTTTGGGCAGTGGACGGGGAAAAAAGACATTTGTGCTATGCATCTACTATGTTCCAGGCAGTCTAGCAGAATAGGTGAGAATTCAGGTCTGGAATCAGATTGCCTGAGTTTGAATCCTGGCTCCACCACCAACTGCCTGTGTAAGATTGGGCAAACTACCAAACCTGTCTGTGCCTCAGTGTTATCACTATAAAATGTGAGTAGTAACAGTCTCTGCCTCATGAGGTTGTTGTGAGAATTAAGTGAGTTAATCCACGTAAAATACTTAAGAAATAACACACTTAGGGGTACCTGGGTGGCTCAGTCAGTTAAGCATCTGACTCTTGGTTTGCATTCAGGTCATGACCCCAGGGCTCCGTGCTGGGCATGGAGCCTGCTTAGGTCTCCATTTCTCCCCCCACCCCCAAGACCCTCCCCACCCCCACTCACTCTCTCTGAAAAACGAAAGAGAGAGGGAGGAAGGCAGGCAGGAAGGAAGGAAGGATAGACATATCTGTTGTAGTTGAAAATGGGCACACAGAAAACCTTTGGCAAATTCAGGTTATCGATGATGATGACAGTGACTATTATTACCGAGATGACAACTGCTCCTCTCCCTCCTCCTCCTCCTCCAGGAAAGTGCAACAGAGGGTGTGGGGGTGGGGGGAGTGGGGTTGTCAGGACTCACCTTCGATCTGGTCAGCAGTGAAGTCTATCTGTGGGGAGGGAAACACAGGAATGAGGGCTGAGACTGCCAAAGGCTCCCAAAGCACAAGTGGCCTGGAGTCACCTCCCATGGGCCACCAATGAGCAGGGCAGGAGACTGAGCCCAGAACCCCAGTCTCCTGATGGAGGAGCCACAGCTGACAGGCTATCACATAGCACAGCCGCCAGAGCACCTGCCGTCATTACCACTTGTGAAGCCATGGCTCACAATGAGAGGGAAAGAGAAATACCCTAGATGCTGACTCCCTTTTATAATTTCTTTGGATCAAAGGTAAATAATTCCTCATCGTAGCCGGCAAAAAACTGCACTCACTTTCATCCCTACTTTGCAATCCACCGCAATCCCTCCCCCACTGGGCGCCCACCACTCCTCACCCTCTGTCTCCCTCTTCCACTGGCGATACACATCCTTCTATCACGCCTTCCTTTCCCTCACCCCATTCCACCCCCACCTCTCCCTCGTAGGCACTGGGACAGCGAAACTAGTTTAGGTGGGTCCTCGATGTTTCATGACCTGTGGTCCTGCCTCTAGATATCCCCGGGTGGGGGGCCCCTTGAGGCCAGGGTTCCCTTGGAGCAGGCATTTTTGTTACTGTTCACAGAAATGCCTGGCGCCGGGTAGGGCCTCAAAGACTATGTGTTGAGGAAACGAATAAATTTTGGATTCGCCCCCACAACTCATGATAATCCAATGCTGAGTACAGAAGAGGCAGGTGGGAAGCTCTGAAAATGAATGGTAATGAACAAGCATGAGTCATCATTGTAATTTGGAATTTTGTGTGTTACTTCCTCGTCCTTCCCTAGCACCACCCTCCCCACCAGCGATGGTAACCACTCCTGGCACATCTTCTAGGATGGTCATTTCTAGTCCTAACTCTGCCACCTATGCTGTGGCCCCTCTCTGCCCCCCACAGGTTGACCTCTATTAATGGGGACTTCCGGGGGTGACTGGAAGGAGTTAGGAGAGTGAGGAGGAGTTACACTGGGTTGGGAAGGAAACTGGCAGTGGCCAGAAATGGGCTTTGCTGAAGGTGGGGTTGGTCAGGAAGGTAAAGGAACCCCTAAAATAGGGTAAAGGATGCTTCGCATGAACTCTCTGAGGAAATGGTGCATCATAATGTGTTAAGCCCCAGGAGTAATTGTGCAAGAGAAATTAGTATGAAAACATAAAATCAGTATAAATGGTCGTAACCACACATATTGAGCTTAAGTTTACTTTTGTTCTATCTTTGAGTGGAGTCTTCTAAGCAAAGGAACTGGATAAGTACAATAAAAGGAGAAACAGTCCTCATGAAGCATACGTAAATTCTTTTTTCACTTTAAAGCAATTTCAACAACCCTAATGATTGGAAGCTCCAGACATAGGAAAGAGGACTGCAACCAGGGGTGAGAAACTGGGGGAGGTGGGTAGATGGAAAGAAGCAAAAGGCCAAAGAGAAGGCTCTGATCAGAGGTCACTAGGCAACTGCCATCCAGATGCCAGGGACCAGACTGTCCTACAGAGTAGCGCATCATCAGAACAAAGCAGATATAAAAGCATCCTGGGTGCCTGGGTGGCTCGAGTCAGTTGAGCGTCCACTCAGGTCATGATCCCAGGGTCATGGGATTGAGTCCCTGTCAGACTGTAAGCTGAATGTGGAGCCTGCTTGAGATTCTCTCTCTCTCTCTCTCTCTCTCCCCCTCTGCCTTTCCGCCGCTCACACTTGTGTGGTTGCTCTCTGTCTCTCTCTCTCAAAAATGAAAAATAAAGTCATCATCCTTGTTTGTCTCTTTCTTTAAAAAATTGTTTTTTAAAGAAATAAAAGCATTCTGATGGGGGTGGGAGTAGTCAGCTTTCCTTGCTAGGCTCTGCCCATAGTGGGAGTCGTGTATGACCCAGGAACTTTCAAGGTCTTACACTATTGCCCCCATGTGGACCATAACCAAGCCCAGGGATGTGCAACTGCCTCCATCTCTTGGCCAATCCAGTTCTGCTTGACTCCTGACCCTTGTAGTGATTACCATAGATCGACCCCAGGTCCTTGGCACAACTGCAAGGTGTCAGGGGGCTGTGGGTGCTGGGAGGAACACTGAAGCGGCCAGGGAGGGTCATCCAAATTAGAGCCCAGAGCTTGTTTCCCTGCCTGCTTATCACAGAACCCAGTCCTGAGCTCTTATTTTGATCTAATTCCTCGCCACCCCCAGCCTTGCACTGGTGGATATCCCCAGGGGCCCACCACTCCCAACCTGTTATTAATAGCTCTTCATACCAGTAGCACTTGACCTCTTACATTCTGGTGCCAAGGCTCAGAACTGCTCCACTCTCCAGAGGCCTCTGACCCCTCCTTCCTCGGCCCATCCCCTCCCAGACCCATTCCTTCAGCAGCTGGACCTGATAGCTGGGAGGCCTAAAGTGACTGAGTCAGCAGGCAGGGCCTACACCAGCTCCAGGGAGAGGAACCTTCTGGTGTGAGAGGGAGCAGGGAAGGCAAAGAGGGGAGAGGGCCAGGGCACCAGAAGAAACCAGGCTCCCTTCTCTCACCAGGTTAGAGGGAAGGTCTCAGCCTGCGATGGGCCAGTTCACTGCTCACTCCAGCCAGGAGCCCAGACTGAGGCCACAGAGGGAGGGAACCACCTGGGGAGGGGAGGGGAGGGGAGGGGAGAGGGAACCAGCCTCCTCTCACCTTATCTAGAGCTTCTCCTACCCCACGACCCACCCACTGCAAGGGTCTTACAGGCAAAGCCTTTCCCAGACCCCCTGCTCCCTCACTGTTTAAATCACTTCCTCCAAGATGCACTGGCAGTTAGCATTACGTGTCTCTTCTCCAGAAGGACACTGTACTACCTCTGAGGAAAGGGCCAGTCTCTTTTTCTTTGCTATGGTGGCTCCCACAGTGCCTTAAAATTTAAGGCTGAATGGTTGGTTGGTTGCTTGCTTGCTTGCTTGCTTGTACCTCCCTGCCATTCTAACTGTGCTGGGTAAATTAGGGGTGACAGAGCAGAAACCCATTCCTGAGGGGAAAGGCCTACAACCCCAAGTACCCCCACCAGCTCCGACACCAGCTCCCCCGCCCTGTGCACTGTGTTGTGGGGCATGGACACCACAGCCCTCACCCCAGTCCCACCTCCAGGAAGTAGATCTCCAAGGTCCAGGACAGCCAGGATCCTGAATTTCATCCCCTCCTTCTTCCCAGTGGCGGAGGCTCACTCACCTTGACACTCTTGGGGTCAAAGGCAGGTTCCTTGGGGGGTTCTGGAGCTGGGGCAGGAGCAGGGGCTGGGGCAGCCTTGGCTGCTTCCTTCTTAGGCTCAGGCTTCTTGGGAGGCATGTTGTCCTGTTGGGATCTTCGGTGGAGGTGGGAGGTGGGAAGGAATCAAGAGATGTGGCGCCTGGGAGATGAGACAGGAGACTGGGCCGCCTCCCTCCCCTTTTATCCTGGGCAGGAGCCCCCACAGAGGGGCTGGGTGAGAGCAAGAGCATCTGTTCTGACTATAAAAGGAAGAAACACCAGCAGGGTACAGCTGACAACTGTGTATTGTCACCAGGTTTGGGGCAATGAGCCCCCCACCCCCACCTCACACTCCTCCTGGCCTCCACCTCTGGGACAGGCTGAACCCTTCCTGCCAATCGGTGGAAACCCAGAGGGGCCAGGGAAACAGACCCTCTCAAAAATGCCAGAGTCCAGCCAGAGAGATGAGCTGACTTGAGCAGTTGATAACCCTCACACAAAGCCCAGGGGAGGGTGAGGCTTTTTTTAGCCCCTCCTGAGCAGAGGCAGCCCACTGCACATTCCTTTTAAGCCAGGCTCCTTTAAGCTGAGAGCCACTCTGGGGCCTCGGCTCTGCCTCCGGCCTGGAGCCCTGAAGCAACAGCTGGTCCAGTCAACCCACACTGTCCCCACACCCTCCCTCTCCACGGGGTAAAGCCCTCCATCCTCCAGAGCAGGCAACCTAGGAGCTCCATCGGACTCAAGTCCCTGGGTTTATCTCCTCCTTCCCCACCAACCTCAATCATTCATTCAACAAGTACTGAGCACTGAACTTGTGCCTGGGGGGTCTCAGGTGAGAGGCAGGGAGGTGTGGCTGAAAGTCAATGAGGCTGGAGGTCAGAAAACTAACTCACTCTGTGCCCCTGGACTCTGTGTGTATGCATGTGCAGGTGTGTGTGTGTGTGTGTGTGTGTGGTACTTACTGTATACCAGGCAGTTAAGTGCTTTCATATAAAACCTCATTTCATCTTTGCCACAACCCTATAAAATAGATATTATTATTACTCCTCTTTTGCACTTGAGGAGATTGAAACTAAAAGTGGTCGGGTAATTAGCGTCACTCAGCTAATTAGCTATGACCTGGATTACAGCCCAGGTATGTCTGATTCTAAAGTTTATGCTTAAATCATTGATAGCACAATCCAATTTATGGGGCAGGTGTGCACAGATACGTCCATGTCCATCAGAAAGCTCAGGATGGTTACACACTAAACTGTTAGAAAGAAATACTCCTGGAAACTGGGGGGGGGGGGGGGGGAGAAGGGAGCAGGACAGCAATTTGTAGTTTTGTACTGTTTTCACTAACTGTATAGTGGAAATTTTTACAATGAGCATGTACTGTTTTTGTAAAAAACGCTGGAAGTCTATAAAGTGTTCAGAAAACATCAACAAAAGCTTATCCACCACACAGAATTGGTTTCAGCTGAACTTTAAGACTACAGTTCAGAGGGTAAGGAGAGGGCAAGCTGAGAGAAGCAGAAAAGTCCAGTTTCCTCGCCTTTAACACAGGGTTGCAGACTCCGCCACGCCGGCTCTCTGCCAGCTCCCCGCCAGCTCCTAGGGTTGCAAGTCCAGGAGCCAGCAGCGCCCACCGGCCCATTCTCCAGGCTCCCCGAGCCCACGCTCCATTTCCCAGATCTTTCCTAACTGAAAGGGCCCTTAAAGTTGGTCTTAGCCTACCTGGTTTTGTAAGTGAGGAGTCTAATGCCCAGAGAGACCTTTAGGCAGCCTCCAGACATCCAGCTATTTATAGGCACAGCTGAGCCAGTTAATTCTGGCCCCCAGTGTGTGGAGCTTACTCTACTCCACCGCTCCCGTAGCCTAGGTGTGCTCTCGCCACTGGCAAGCAGGGAAGCCTTTAAAGGAAACTGAGGCAGGAAAAGGGGCCAGGACTTGCCCGAAGGGGAACTAGAGCAGGATGCAAACCCTAGGCCAGTACTGGTCCTGGCTGGGACAGCAAACAGCTACTCGCTCTTTCACCTCACCCTACCCCTTTTCTGCCTCACCTTCTTCCTTTGACTTTGTGTTACCTGCTTCCCAGTGCCTCTGCTTGCACCTTTCCTTTTCCCTGTCTGTCCCTTCCCTGACATCCTCATTCCCCACGGGGCTGGGAGCCCAGGTGGTTGGTGAGGAGGAAGGAGGAGAGCGGAAGCCCTGCCTCTCCCCTCCTCTACTCCCACTGCATCCCCTTCCTGGACCAGGGGTGCTGCAGGTTTGCGAAGACACACAGGCCAGGGCTTGGTGGAAGGCTGCAAGCCAGAAGCACGAAGATCCAGACACTAGCCCTGGCCTGGCCAGCCACTCCCCCAATCTGGGCCTCAGCTTGCTTATCTCTAAAATGAGAGATAATCAGGAGCTCTCAAACAGTGCTCAACAGACACCCAGGTCTTCCTTAACTTCTTCTGGCTGTAAGGGACACAGAGAGGCCAGGTTCGCAGCTCTCCCTGCCATTTGAGCCAGCATTACTCCTGAGTTTTATGTACTGGGGCCCCAGGATCATTTTCTAAAAAAGTATTCTGTGGTTTAAGAGTCTAAAAATAACGGCTGATTGGGATGCTCTCAGACGTCCCCTTCCCGCTAAGAAACAAGTTATTCTCACCATTCTAATAAGAAGTTTGATCCTCAAAAGAGTTGGCGGCGGGGTGGGGGTGGGGGCGCCTGGGTGGATCTGTCAGTTGTGTCAGACTTGATTTCAGCTCGGGTCATGATCTCACTGTTCGTGGGTTAGAGCCCCACATTGGGCAGTGCAGAGCCTGCTTGGGATTCTCTCTCCCTCTTTCCTTTAATTTCATTTATCTTTTTCTTTTTTCATTTTTTTTACATTCATTTATTTTGACAGACACAGTGAGACAGAACACAAGGTAGGGAGGGGCAGAGAGCAAAGGAGACACTGAATCTGAAGCAGCCTCCAGGCTCTGAGCAGGCTTTCAGCAGAGAGCCCAACATGGGGCTTGAACCTACCAACTATGAGATCATGACCTGAGCTGAAGTCAGATGCTCAATCGACTGAGCTACTCAGGTGCCCTTTCTTTTTCTTTTTCTTTTCTTTTCTTTTCTTTTCTTTTCTTTTCTTTTCTTTTCTTTTCTTTTCTTTTCTTTTCTTTTCTTCCTCCCTCCCTCCCTCCCTCCCTCTCTCTCTCTCTCTCTCTTTCTTTCTTTCTTTCTTTCCTTCTTTCTTTTAATTCTAAGGAGAAGCAAAATATCCAGTCTGCTTGGGAACAGAGCTATGAGCTTAGAAAGCTGGGAAAACCAAATGGGGCTCGCTGAGCACTTGCCAACACGGAAAGGGTATGTGTGGGCTTTAGAGGCAGGCAGACAAGCATAGGGCTGAATCCCCGTTTTGCATTTCCTAATCTTGGGCTCAGTTCCCTAAGGACCTTCCACAGTAAACATTTCCTTCTCAAGCTGTTGTGAGATCTGCGTGAAACATCGTAAGCAAGCCTCACAAACCATCCCTGGAACCCTGGAAACACTCCTGGCTGTGAATTTCATTTTGCTTTCCCAGGCAGATGAAGCTAGACAAATGTTCAGGTTTCACAGGCTTCCCAGAAGGAATTCTAGGAGGGGGGACCACAGGGAGGAGGGACAGGTAAGGTGGCAGTGGCTGCTGGGATTATAAGGTGTAGGTTTAGGAATGAGGAAGAGGTGGAAAGGAATGGGGGCGGGGGGAGGATGGCAGCTGGGTAGCCACAGTGTGACATATTTTGTGGCTCCAAAAGCATGTAGCAAGTCCCCTGGGCCAGGAGGCCTGCGTGTCAGCCACACTCAGATGAGGTGCCAGCCTGCCTGAAACCGTAGGCCACAAGTGCCCCAGCAGGGGAGGAGACACTCCTCAAACCAGTTTCTGATTCTTTAAGCAACGCCAGCTTAAAAAGTGTCTGGCATTTCAGCAGCAGCTAGAGGAGAATGTGGTTTTCCAGGAAGAGCCATGCATCAAGAATCAAGACACCGGAGGCTGGCCTTGGTATTACCACAGCTCACGATGCCCACGGTTCACAAGTGCCTGTTACTGGAGTCAGAGAGTTCACTTTCATGGTCCTCATTCTGCTTCACAGTCGCTGACTCTTACCGCCCTGTCCATCTAGAGTATCCTGCACAGGATCTGTGACAGCCTCCCCCTCCAATAAATGTGGACCAATCAGAGCAAAGAGAAGAGAGAAGGAAAGCAGAGGCGGGGTGTGAAGAACTGAGTGTGGCAGGGGTCCTGGCAACCTAACCAGTACCTCTGGGAGGCACCGAATGGTTCCTGAGCCAGAGCTGCCCCAGCGCCCTCATATGCTTTCACCGGAAGGACGTCAGACTCAGTAGATGGAAAACGCAGGACAGAATTTCATACCAACCCATTTATACCCCACGTCAAATTCGGAGACAGATGCACAGAGAACTGTCATCAGCCCTCCTTTAGTCTGGGCTTACGCATGCTCACTCGCCCTTCTCCCCTCCCCTCTAGCCACGCAGGGCCTGTGTCCTGTCCTGAAAAAGATCCACCAGAGTCTCCTGCCTGGGATCAAATGCTGCTGACAGTAGGCCTGGCTCTTAATGCCTTGTCCTAGTCACCCTCCCTCCTCTCTTCTGGCCAACGCATAAGCTAGACATCATGGGGCAATGCCAACACTAATCTGTCCCCATACAGGGCACTGGGTGAATCAGCAGAGGGTAAGAGGGACCACTCAGGAGCCAGACTGCCTGGGTTAGAGTGCTGACTTAGTTAAGCAAGCTAGTTAACTTCTTTATGTTTCAGTTTTCCCATCTGCAAAATGGGGCAGCCAACATAACCTCAGAGGGTTAAACGAGTTAACACGGGTGACATCCTTAGAACAGTGTCTAACACAGAGCAAGTGCCCACAATCCTTGAGCTTGCGTCCTGATTGAAATACTGGGGATGCGGCTCCCTCTCTCAAGGTCAATAACAGAAGAATTATACAGAGAAAACACCAAGAAATGAAAAGAACTATGAGAAGCCCCTTAGATGAAGGAGGTGATGTGTGTGTGTGTGTGTGTGTGTGTGTGTGTGTGTGTCAGAGAGATGTAGCCGAGCATGGCTGTGGGATGACCAGGAAAAAAACAAAATAGGAGCTTTGGGGTTCTGATCTC